TCTTTAGGAAATATTCCATCATATGTACTTAAACTTCAGGGGTGCCAATAATGGTGAGCAGGACTGTATATCCTTCTCTAAAGTATATAATTGATCATATGAGGCCCGCTGGTTGTCCTGCAGATTCTATCCCCCCTCACTTGCTGAAAGAGGTACTAAAATGGACCAAACATTCTGGAAATGATTCATAGTAGTCTTTCCTCTGGTACAGTACCAAGGATTTTGAAGCATGCAGTTGTGTGTTCCCTTCTTAAAAATGCAGGCTTGACCCTTCTCTGTTCTCCAACTATAGGCCTATCTTCCACCTTGCATTTATTTCTAAAATGCTAGAGAACATCGTTTACAATCAACTGTTGCCATTTTTTTGAGGAAAATGGTATCACTGAACCTTTTCAGTCAGGATTCCAAACCCTTTACAGTACACAGAGCGCACTTCTCAGGGTTTCAAATGACATATTGTCTACAGACTCTGGAAAGTTTTAGTGCTTTAGAATTTATCTTCTGCGTTTGATACTTTTGATCACAGTATTTTAATGCCTCCTCTTAGGCACTGTGTGGACATTGGGGCGTTGCCCTGATTAGGATTGGGTCCTTTCCAGCCAGTAAAGGTTTCTGTGTTAAATTTAACAAGTTTGTGTCTTCCACTGTCTTCCACAAGACCTCTTCCACACGGGGTACCTCAGGGCTTAATTCTTGGCCTCCTTTTATTTGCCATTTTCCTGCTCTCGCTCACCTTTGTTTTAAGGAAAAATGGCATTTCATTTCACTGTTATGCTGATCACTGCCAGATGTATTTCCCTTTTTACTCAAATAACACAATCCAGCAACTCTCTCATTGCCTCAATGACATTAAAACATGTCTCTCTCTTAACTTCCTAATCTAAACAAGAACAAGAAGAAGTTACGTTATTATCCTTCGCCACATTTATCTTGATTCACTGACAGTTTACCTCAGGGACTGTGTCACTAATCTGGGGATAAAGTTTTAACCGGCTCTTAAACTTTTTAAAAAAAACATATCAGCATTGTTCAGAAAATTTTTTATCAATAGCCAAAGTGAAGCAAATCTTGGCAAGACCCGACCTGGTGAAATTAGTCCACGGTTTTATTGCAGTTCTTCTGGACAACTGTAATGATTTGAATGTAGGCATTAGTCAGGCATCTTTTGCCCTTCTTGCTGTCTTGTTGTCAAGTCGAC